GGTCTCATTAAATTTCCTATGCCAATACGTTGTAATTTTAATAAACCTTCAAAATCCTTTAAATTACCGACTGTAAATCTAAAATCGTTTGTAGTTCTTTCATATGGATAAATAATCTGACGAAAATGATCCGCGGACTCTGCTGATTGTAATACTTCATATTTAACCTGGTCTATGTAAAACATTTTGGGTATGTATCTAATAACAAGCGAGAATTCTTCCGGAATAAATTTTGGAATAATTACTTCCGTTTTCTTACAATCCTCTCCAATTTCTTTTGGCCAGACCTCAGGTGCTCTTAATATAAAGTAATCCTTTTTATCGCTCACCCCTATTTTAAACTGACGCCCTTGGTAACGTGCTAATGAGAATTTTCCAATTTTAACGTTACTGTTCCTAAAATGCTCGTTTAACAATTCAGTTATTCTCACCGCCGATAATAATAAGTTTGAGTCTTATTTATGCAGTACAGCGTGACCTAATCATAAGAACTCCTTACCTTTTGATGTTTGAGTAAAAGCTGGAACAAATCAGAATACAGTTTTGCATAGCTTGAAGATTTTCCTATGCGATGAAGTTCATATCACCTTCTTATGAGAAAGCTGGATAATAGGGTCTCTGGAAAACCTGACCCCTGGAAAACCAAGTCTTTAGTTTTTGATGAAAAGCATTTCCAAACCATATAGTCTGATAGAGCAAAGAATGTTGAGCAAAATAACATATCTCCCGGCTGTACTGAACGTTCTCTGGTCAAACTGCTGCCGATTTACGACTGCTGACAAAGGGTCATGAAAACTGCCAAAATATACCGGTGAAAAGGCGTTGTAGCCCGCCGGTGGATATATTATTGCTCAGCATCACCGCTAAATATGCTGAATCGGGTAGGTGCCGCGACAGTCTGAGTTCGGATATGTTTGATTTCATGGAGGCGCCACTATCCAATGAAGAAAGTTATGCGGATTGATAGTTGGCGCCACAACCACGGATATATTCGACAAATGGCTACCATGTGTGAGAATCTGAACACATAGGTGGTACCACAATCAGCCCGTCAATACGAGACTGATAGAGGGCGCCAACACTCGGTGAGCAAAGCACGATAGGTTGCGCTACAACCCAAATTAGGATAGATAGCTTCTTTTCATTTACACAAATCCTTTTACATAAAAATTATCTTATTTTGCACTTTTGATATATTATTTTTCTGTTCTTTATTCATTTTACATAAACAAATCTATGATAAAAACCTATCTCACACCTCTATTATGATATTCATATTATATTTTATGTGTTACATGTAAGCTATTTTTATCTGAGAAAACTATTAGCTGTGATTATTATTCATTCATATTGAATGATGCCTTTTTATTTCTATTTCAAGTCATTTTTAAATAGAACGAACGAGAAAAATCTAGTGATAACATGATTTTTATTTTATAACTGAAATTCAAATGTTTTTCTTTTTTCTGCTAAACATTAGTAGTATATGCTTATAATATATATACATTACAATTATATGAATAATATATAACAATCGCTATATACGAGACACTATTTAAAACACTATTAAAAATGCATTGTTATTATATCTATTACTTATCTATATTTATAATATTATTTTCATATACAAATAGTCAAACACCAATTTGTAAACCTACAGGTTGTTCAGGACAAATTTGTGCTGATAACGATATTATTACTACATGTGAGTATCGTTCCGAATACGAGTGTTATCGTTCAGCTAAATGTGAGCGACAAACAAATGGTGAATGTGGTTGGACTATGAATGAAAGTCTCAAGAAATGTTTAACATCAAGTACAAGTGCATCGAGTTGTTTTGATACACTAACAAAATGTAAAACTAATGTTGATTGTTGTAAATCAAAATGTTATAAACGTCAAGGAAAAGATGGTGTATGTATGCATCCAAATAAGACAATTCCATGTAAAGGTTGTCTATCAACAACATGTGAAGAAAATTTAGATTGTTGTAATTGTCAATGTACTGATGGCTTATGTTTATTACCATGTTGTCCACCTGTAATAAGACCAGGAAATCCACCATGTCGTGATTGTGGTTTTCGAGGTTGAATTGAAGAAACTGATCATCAAGTATCAATTACTATTTTAATATAAACTAATAGAATTAAGCTATTAACTAACACAGTTAGATTTCATATTCTGTAATTGTATGAAAACCTAAAACTAGTTGTTATAAGCTATTTATTGAAAAAAAGAAAATCATTTACTTGTGTCCACCAAAAGAGAGAACAACTTCCCATTATTATTGATAGTGATATAAGGTGCATAGATCAGTTCAACGAGATAAAACAGCTGAGTGGTGGTGGTGGTGGTGGTGGTGGTAGTGCAAAAAAGAAAACAAATGCATAGTCGAATGAAAGAAAGAAACGAAAGAAAAGTACTAGAAATAACAAAGAGAACGTATACACGCACTTTTCTAAACAGAGAGAAAGATCTAGGGTAAAAAGACAACCTAAGGAGACAATAGCAAAAAATAGAAATAAACACAGACACATTAGTCTTCCAATCTTCTTGTTGTACAAATAAAATTTATAACTGCACGATAGACAGGTGCATATTCATGTTTTGAAAGACGTACATTTAACAATAGTCAATCAAGGCTTAAGGTAAGGACTAGTTCCATTGCTGAGATGGCATTTCAGAGAATACTACGCTGAGAGCGAAATAACGCACACTCTAGAAAATAATGCTGTGTGGTTCATTTTTCCCACACTTGCATAGACTACTAGTTGATAGAGATCTTTTGTATAAGTCTGCTTTCAGAGAGAAGAAATTACTTCATGGTTTATTGTATAACACGTCTAGGTATGCACCAGTTCCAGTTAACTGGAACTGTCAGGAACCGTTGGAAAAAAATTTCGATATGAATTCAAAAGAAAGTTTAGATTCTATTGAAGAAACTGCAGGTAAAAAGTCAAAAGCCTTTTAATAGCAATGCTTTTCGAAGCTGGAATTTATGGAGTCTAAGTAATTGATTATGGAGCTCCTAACGAAACTGCTCTGTGATTCAAATAATCAATCTATAATATATGAGCGCGACAATGAATAAATAATATCTGACGAAATTTTGCTGATACACCATTACATTCTCCACTAAAAACTAATGCACCATCGAAGCCAGCAAAACGAATTTTGGTCATGTCAATATTTTTAAATCTTAATTCTTTAACAATTGTATCAAATATTGTTGGTGCATCTTTATCTTTTATTTTTAATAAACTAATATATGATTCTGTTGGCTCATCTAAAAAGTGCAAATATTAAGTGTAAGCAGATTTTTCTAAAAAAGCATCTTTTGAACAAAGAAAAGCATGATACATCTCGTACCGACCTCAGTCAAAGATTTCTTTACCATAATCGATAGCACTGTAGATCGAATATAGATTTTTTTCTTTTTTTTCCGTACAGTTATTCTGTAAAACACTTTAGATAGTCATTAAAGATTCTCAACAGTTTGCAACACAATTCTAGAAGTCAATGCGAAAAAACAAGAATTTTTCCGAAATTTCATCGTTTTTATACAGATTGTGTAAAACAAAACCATGAGTGAATAGTACTAGCGTATAAAAGTGAAAATCCAGATTTTCGATTTTCCACTATGTAAGAGATCCTTCACGTTTTTGGAATCGATTTTTCATAAAAGAGAAATAATTTCTCCTGCCAGTGCAATATTCTGCACATATTTAAAGCTGACTACGTGACACCTCAAGTGCATAATTTGAGTGTTACCTTGCCCTTTGAGTGATACTCAAACCACAAGTGCATACACTTAAAGTGAAATTTTCCTCCTTGAATCTCATCCAAAAAATTCTATCCCGAGGCAGCAGGCAAGATCCATAAAACTAGTTCGGCATGCCTTCAGGATACACTGACCTGTACCTTGATTACAATAACGTATACAAATTGACAAATTTTGATGACGATTTATATCTGTGCCTTCATCAGCCATAATTGAAGTAATTCTTGATTCATGAATTGTTGTGAAAATCTGTTTATCTATTACTTCACTTGTTGATTATAATAATTCTGTTACTGTTGTATGCTATCATAGATGGCATTCTTCTGACATTTATCGAAAAATTCTGATAATTTTTTTACTATGATCGATTTTTGATACTAATTCCAGTAATGGTGCATATAATGTTGTATGTGGAAGTTCATGCTTAAATAAAAAATATGCACCATCTAATAAATCACCAAATCTTTCACGATTTGCTTGACGTTCTAATTCACTAACATTAAATAATTGTTGTGCCGCTGACCCTTCTTGCTGCCTAAATGATAAATTTTGTACAGCTATTTTATGATAAGTAGATTGTTAGTGTTTTTCTAAACTTTCACTTCGACCAGGTGCATATTTTCAATTGACAAACGGTTGTATAGTAAAAACACCTCTAGTTCTTGTATTCATCTCAGAATAGAACGGTATTATTGGTTTCCAGTAATCACGACATAGACGATAATGGCTAGCTGTAATGAAAAGGATTTAATATCAGCAAAGAACAATTTAATTCGCTAAAGATGATGGGTGCGTGGAGTATAACTCGTGTACTTCAGATGGACGTAAAAACCACAGTTACGTACATTCTCGTTAACTGTACTTGTTATAAAGTTGACGCAATTAAGGGTAATTCATAGTGACTGCTGTCTTGTTATATGAATGATATATAAAAATATATCATTCTTTTCTTACTTTCTTGTCTTTTATATCTATCTATATACGTATATAGAAGAAAAAAGATCAAAAAGAAAGGAAAATGCCATCAAGCAAGAAAGTGAGAAAAGAAATTTCATATTTTCCAGGAAATGCTTGCTGCACTTACTCTAGGTTCTCTCAACTTTACAGACTAAAATAAAATTAACTGGAATGTACCCATCTCCGATCTTTTTGCCAGTTTAAAGTACCAAAGTTGTACTCTGTGCCGAGATATATTTTAGAAAAAGATACATTTTACTTTCTGAGATAATGGATTGTCAATATTACAGCTAAGCATAACGAAAATATGTACTTTTTATCGCCATCATGAATAAGTGTACGACGATTTATACGTGTAAAATTGTCCTAGTATAAATCGTGTGCAAATTTTATTCCGGTAGAGTACAAGCATACAAGATTATTGATAAGCTTTTAATCAGTTTCGTATAAGTCTGTCAAAATGTATCAATTAAATTGAAGACTAAGGCAGCATTTCGAAATATATTCAGGATCGGTCGGTCGCTACTGTTCTATTCCGTCCATTAGGTCGGTGTAGGTACGATATGAGATAATTTAGAACTACCTTGTTTTGTAATTGCATAAACATACTAGGTTGGAAATAATATTTTGCCCGGGGGGTACCGCTATAATTTCAAGTAGAGAAAATAATGAATTTTATATCAAATAAAAGCCCGTGACAAACGGGATTTAGGAGTATAATTGGTCATGCATAAGATGAGAATGGACTATAGAAATACGAAAAGTTTTAAATTTTAGTGGTATAATTGGATCCTTTCACTAGTAGTTAACCGAAAAACATAAAGTTCTCGGAAAATCTTTTGTCTATTGAACTTTATAGAACACTCTACGCTGATCATTTTGGTAAAAAAGTTTTACAAATTTATTCGATAAATAACAGTGCTAGAGTCAAAATACTCATACATATATTAACTGTATTAGTTAGAGCCATCTGAAGTTTTTAGTCCAGCGTTTGCTGTTGCATTCGTTAAAAAACGCTATTTATGTGGCGTCAGGTGTCACTACTCTACTGCGGACGGTCGGTCGGACGGTCGGACATTTCGTTTGTATGACCCAAGACTTTCAGTCAAGGGAATAAAGCATATCCAGCAGTCAGTCCTTGCAACGCGTAAAGTTGGTGCCAGCAGACAAAATATGTGAAATTTAATTTCTGACATTTATGGCTGCGGAGTCAAATTTATCAGATGCTTGCTTCACGGTAAAAAGTGCTAATTATCAAAAATTAGCGTTTTTCTCGCTAATTAATGAAGTTGGTGCCAGCAGATAAAATATGTGAAATTTAATTTCTGACATTTTTTATTCCGCGCTCGCAGATCTAGAATGTCTCGCTGCTCACTATTCCCTACACAATGAAAATAGTCGGAGTCGAAAAGCGATTTATCACTTGGGAAGGTTCCCTCGTCAGACCACACCGTGCAAGGGCATTACGATTGCTTGTTCTGATTGAACAAAGAACGATAACTTTCACACGACGAGAACGGAGCACAATATCACCTCGCCACTGCACATATTCTGCTTCTCTCCAATAAGTATTTCTTTCCATTCTACCAGAAATGTTTCATACTTTAACGTAAACTGAATCTAGTAATTTTCACTCGTCAAACGTTCAACGTTCAACGTTAGTAATTTTCACTCGTTTGACGATGTGAAAGTTATCGTTCTTTGTTCAATAAGAACAAGCAATCGTAACGCCCTTGCACGGTGTGCTCTGAGCTGTATTGCTTGTCATGCCTTAACTCTGTCTTTCTTGAAGAAAGCCTCCTGAGGAGACCCTTTACATTTGTCTGAAAGAACCAACAGGTCACATGAGTGCATTTTACGCTGTGATCAACAGAGAGATTGCTAGTGAAGAAGAAATTGTGAAGACACCCAATCGATTTGCTGATCCAGGACAATTTCAAACTGTCACATAAGCTTGTTTGAACTTTCAGCAGTTACAATGCGATATTCACGGATGTGATGGGTTCTCGTTTATTCGGTGTGCTCATTGTCAGCAGATTCTCTCTTTCAAGCATTTCTTCGTTCTTTTGCACTATCATTGAAGTTGAATAGTCAGTGTGTGAGTGAATGGATAAGCATCTCTAAAATAGATTTTGATTTGAAACCAAATTGGCATCTACCTCTGCATACTAAAATCAAGTTTTCGCACTAATGATAATACATAAAGGAACAGATTTTCAAAATGTGCAACTACATTTAATGCGAAAACATAATTTTATGACTGTTCGCTCGCCTTTTCAATTGCAAGTCCTGTTTGTTGCATTTTTTTCTCGTTTCTTTTATCATTGTTCGTCTCTGACAGACGTGTACATACTTCACAAGAAAAGAAAAATCAGTATTTCTTGAAAGAAGCAAGGAAAAATTGTGAAACTTGTACGAGATATGGATGACTACCAAGAGTATCTCTGGAAAAATAACAAGTCGATTGGACCTTCCATCAACGAGCAATGGTCTTTGAACGGTTCCAGTTATTAGACAAAGCTTTGTAATTTCAATATCTTCCGGAGTTCGAATTCTGTGATCCTCAAACTTTCAGCACAATACAAGTAAAATCATAAGTAGTTGCAGTAAAATGTTCAAGTGCAATGAAATTATGGTTACTGAGAAATCGAATTTTTTCTCCCAATGTTGCGTTTTTTTCACAAAACTTGAAAATTCATTACTCGACTCCAGAAGCTCAGACAACCGAACCAACTTAGGGTTATTCTAATTGTGGTTGAAAAACTTGTTTATAATTGGGATGCAATCGATCAGAGCGAAAAGCGGGGCGATGAATCATGGTTTTCTAAACTCTGCTGCTATGTACTAGCCCCTTTATATGTCATTTTCACAACAACGTACCTTACTGCGTTCATTCTATTAATATCCGAAAGGGAAAGTTTGAAGTCTTATTTTTGATTGATTATCAGAGTACATTAAACGCTTAATAGTTTCTACTCTCCTTCTACTTTTCAGTTCTACTTTTCCTGACTTCGATACTCCCCCCGCTGCAAATAAACTCGTGCAGAAACCGATTTCCACATTGAATGCGACTAGATAATTCCAGATGCCCTGTTATTGATGCGCTTTATCGTAAAACAACGTTACAAAAGTTGAAATCGCTCGAAGTCCTAGAGATGCCGTCAAAATCCACTTTGCGTCATAAAAACGCTTCTTACTCCTAATTAATGGAGTTCGATAGCAGACTTCATCCAGAATATTCTCTCGATATTCGAGATGCTCTGGATTGATTGCTTTCGCCGGCTAATAGTGTTTTGTTTTCGGTCACAATCGATCTGAGTTCAACCGCAATGTTTTCTCGATCAGGACACCATCATCTGAGCTATTGCATGCCGATCGATTGCACTTCAGTACTCTTTTCTGGATGGTGGAATATAGCAATGAATTATTCGGTGTCGAGTTCATAGGCACGCTTTTCTGATTGGTGACATCTTCATCTGAGCTATTGCATGCCGATCGATTGGAGTTCACTAATCTTTTCTGGATGGTGGTATGTAGCAAGGAATTATTCGGTGTCGAGTTCATAGGAACGCGTTTCTGGTTGGTGATCTCTTCATCTGAGCTATTGCTTGCCGATCGATTGGAGTTCAGAGGTACTCTTTTCTGGATGGTGGTATATAGCAATGAATTATTCGGTGTCAAGTTCATAGGCACGCTTTTCTGATTGGTGACCTCTTCATCTGAGCTATTGCTTGCCGATCGATTGGAGTTCAGAGGTACTCTTTTCTGGATGGTGGTATGTAGCAATGAATTATTCGGTGTCGAGTTCATAGGAACGCGTTTCTGGTTGGTGACCTCTTCATCTGAGCTATTGCATGCCGATCGATTGGAGTTCAGAGGTACTCTTTTCTGGATGGTGGAATATAGCAATGAATTCTTCGGTGTCAAGTTCATAGGCACGCTTTGCTGATTGGTGTCGTCCGATCGATTGGAATTCAGAGGCACTCTTTTCTGGATGGTGGAATGTAGCAATGAATTATTCGGTGTCGTGTTCATAGGAACGCTTTTCTGGTTGGTGACCTCTTCATCAGAGCTATTGCATGGCGATCGATTGGAGTTCAGAGGTGGTCTTCTCTGGATGGGGTTATAGACTAATGAACTATTTTGTTTCCTGCGATTGGAGTTCGCAGGGACGCTTTTCTGGTAGGTGGCATCTGCTAATGGGCTGTGGTGTGTGGATTGACTTGACTTATTAGACGACTTATTGTGCCCATCTCGAAATAGAATGTTTGGATTGGGCTGGCTGCTTGTTTTGGTTATTTTTGGATACTGCAGTGTTGGTTTTGGTTTTGTAGTGCATTTGTTCTAAATGATATAATATTAGTAGCATAGTAATATGAGTAGCGTCTCAGTTTGTGTTATTCCCTGGCACTGAAGATTGACTTATTGTAGAAGACTCTAGCTGTCTCGAAAACGTTTTTCTGTATTCGAGAATACTTGTAGAACACTGTGAGGTGCTAAATCCCTTTGAGTGAAAACTTCCGCATACGTAATAGGTTATTCTCGTATACTGATTCAGGTAGTTCTAGAAGGCTATTTTACCTGATTTTTTTGAGAAATACCTTCTAGGTTACTGGATATGGAAATGATTTCCTGTAGAACTCGGTAGTTTTTGAACGTTAGAAAACTTTTGGCATGTGGAAAAACCATTTCTATAGCGCAAGAATTATTTCGGAAACATTATTTCGTTTTTTGCTTTTTGCGAAGTAATATTTTTTTTCTTTTTCATTGGAAGCCAGAATGATGGCAGGAGTAATACTGGAAAATCCGACTGGCCTCTTCAATTATCATCCTCACTTCCTTGTTTACAACTGCTCCAACATGCTAATTGTAATTCCTCGCCTTATTGCATTGCTGAACTGTCTCCTAAATAATACAACACAATTGTTTAAAATTCAGCAACCGGCAACTGTGCCGGGCGATATATCCGAGTCCGCAAAGGAAGCCATGACTAGAAGTGAGACATAATTTGATAGACAAACATGTGAAAAGAAACTGTATGCCTCAACGGGAATCGAATCCAGAACCCTCTGGTAACAGGCCAGTAGCTCTAACCATCGAGCTACCGAAGCAGTCTAACATACATTCTCAGTTTATACGAATGATTTTAACTATCCGAGTCTCGAATAATGACACAGTATC